CAAGTTCAGAACCAAATGCACGTGAAACACGCGATGATGGTAATATATCAATCATTCTCTTCGAAATCGATTTTTCTTTTTTAAATTGTTTATATATCTATGGTATATATTCAATTATTCGATCTGGATTGTCAATGTTCATAAACCAATCATAAGTTAAATCTCAAAAAATAACTGATAGATGTCGCTATTTATTTTACTGGTCTCTATGTATTATTTGAGAATGAAATAAACGAATAAAAACAAAGGGAGGTTTTTCGCGAGGTCTTTGTTTTACACTTTTTTTTGCCGTATCTTTCGGTTAGTTTATATCGATCTTATTTTAAACATATAATAATGGTTACCTATAGTATCAAAGATTTAATGAGTCTTTGTTCGGATTATGCACTTGATGCACAAATCCAAAAGATACTTTTTTCATTGGATTTATGGGTGCCGAAAGCAGCTCGAGTATGATGAATTTGTTTTTTTTTTCTTGTTCTATTAAAATTAAATGATTTTTATTGTATTTTCTTCTTCTTAGGAAGTACATATTGATAATGTTGCACAACAACGATATGCTGCAACTACTTTCACTGGTTTTAATCGTGCTCGGTTTGTTATTTCAATTAAAGAAATATAAAATTTTTTTTTTTTTTTAATTTTCTTTTTCTATAGATCTCCAACAAGAAATGATAGTATCAGTAATAATAATATTAATAATCGATTACGTCGTACATTAGCTTTACGATCAATGTCGGCAGAAGTTTTTCGTAGTTCAATTGATACAGGCAATAGTGGATCGTAAATAAATAATTATTTATTTGATTAAAATTTAAAGAAATTTATTTTTCTTCCTTATATTGAAGTTATTCACGTATAATAAATACGAATGATTCACGAGATTTGAATAAAATAAATACAACATCAACAAATATATCTTTGATAAAAAAATCAAGTAATGGTCAAAATCTTGATGATATTTCATCTACAGGACAATCACAAATTAAACTCATGCCTATTTTGGAAGGTGGTGAAAATGAAGATAAATTAATTGAACAATCAACAACTCGTATTAATACAAATATTTCAACAATGATAAATACAACAACGATTGATTGGACACCAGCAGAGTAAAAAAGAAAACGAGAGCGTATAAGACATTGATTTTGGGTCATATAGTATTTTCAGTCACTTTATTGTCTAGTTTTTAACTATTATTTCATTAAAAGGATCTATCATGAGAAATAGTATTCTTCTATCTAGCATGGTTCTATAGACTACAACTGAATAATGATTACAGTGGTTTGATATATTGCTCCATGCAAGCCGCTCTATTTTATATATCATTCGATAGAGCAAAACAAGGACTACAAAATAATATATAATTTATTAGATTCTGAGTTGGCCCAAGGGACCTAAAATATGTATGTAATGTTCGGAGAGTATGAAAAGTGCACTAGTTCACTCGGTGCTAAATGAATTTTATAAAAACAAGTCGACTCATATACTTTTAAAAATCCTCTAAACACGTCGAAAAATTTAGCTGGGATCTTCCTCCGAATTAGGTGAAAAAATATAATTAATTAAAAGATCTTTTTAATAATTAGTCTATTGTTCTTTTGAGTTGTCTTAGCTTTTGAGAAGTTCAGGGTGCGTCTTTTTATGATTCGATTAAGTTTTTGACTGAATTCGTTTTTTCATCTAATTCCGTGGGGACCCAGATAAATTTTTCGACGAAAATAAGAGTCCTCGAAGGATTTTTAAAAGTATATGGATCGGCTTGTTCTCATAAAATCTGCTTAGGATTGAGTGAAAAAGTGCACTTTTCATACTCTCCAAACATTATATGCATACTTTACGTACCTTGGACAAACTCACAATCTAATGAGTTATATATCATTTTGCAACGCTCTTTTTTCTCTATCAAATAATATATAAAAGAGAGTGGTTCACATAAAGAAATATGTATTCAGTTGTAGGCTACAGAACTATCCGAGAGAAAGATACTATTTCTTATGATAGATCCTTCTAATGACGTAATAGTGATTCTTATATGAAACGACACATAATTAAATGCTACATTTTGTGCTAATATTAAACGAGTAGGCTTTCAATGAGAGTTCAATGCTTTTTCTATGAGTATTCTACCCTCTCAGTGACCTGTAATCATCTCATTTTTCTGCATAGATTCACCAATAAAATGACTGAAAATATTACATGAATAAAAAATCAGTGTCTTATACGCTTTCTGTTCTGTATATCTATGTAAACATATGAATTTTCTTTTTATGTTATATTATAGAAATGAACCATCAACATCAATTACAGGTCGAACATCTATTGATGCACTTTTTGAATTAAGTGTTCGTGCAGATTCAGCACTTAAAACAGCTTTATGTGAAAATAATGCCATGGCAACAATAAATGTTAGTAAAACTAATAATAACAATGATCGTATTACATTACGTAAAAGTGTTAGTGTTATGAATCAAAAACAGAAGACTGGTAGTGGTCGTTCACTAATTCGTGCTAAATCAGATATGGTCGCTAGTTCTGATGCAAGGTAAACAAGTTGAATTTATGTGTTTGAATAAATGATTCTATTATAGTCGAAAACGTGCTTTAACTCATATTACTCGTGCTTCGGAACGTTATTTTAGTGATGATCCTAAAATGATTGCTGAAATTGAAGAACTTGAACTTGAATATCTATTCAAGTAAGTATACAAATTTATAAAATTCCTATAGTTAAAAAGATTCGCCCTTCCTTTATCGATCGAAAATATTTAGATTTTTCACTTGTTTTTGGAACATATTCGCTTTTCTTAACAAAAAAAGATTGAGAATCTCTTCAGCTTCTCAACCATAGTAAGTCCGATCGAATTCAAACTTTCTTCGAGTTATAATAGAAAGTTTAAAATTTTTTTAATGAGTCTTTCTCTAGAAGTACCGAACAGGAAATCGAGGTCGTCTTCAGTGTCATCTTATGTTTTTTTTTGTTTTAGAGAAAAGTTTCAAAGATACAACTTGATTCAGAGAGAAACACTCAGAATCGATTAGTTGTAATTTAAGACATGAATCATTGGCAAAACACGTTTTAAGATAATTTTAAATGACGAGACACATTGATATTTTCTTATGTTTGAAGTACATGACAGAGATTCTTTAGGAGGCCAGAATTTGAGTGTTAGAAATGTCATAGAAATAGAAAAATGCAAGATTTACAAAATCTACTTTTACCCTGATTTGTTTTTTTTTGTACTGAAGGAATGAAAATTCGGCTTCATTTTTTTCAATTAATAATTGAATATTTATATATTTTTAATTTCATTATTTTAGTTATATTCGTCATTTAAAAACATTTCCTAAATATGCTGAAATGACAGAAGATGAAATTTTACAAGAAGTTGAAAGTGATCCACATACATTACGTCAACGAACAAAAGAAATTTTAAAAGGAAAAATGTCTGATTCATATGCTAATTATCTTGCAAAATATCCGATAAAGTAAAAATATTTCTTATATTTTTGTTTTTAAATTTTCTTTTTTCAAATAGAAAACAACGTCGTCGAGAACATCCAACAACACCTAATAAATATCGTAAATGTTCACGACGTTGTTTCGATGGACAATTACGTACATGGCGTCGTAATTTACATCAATTTGATGAAGATAATAAACAAGAAACAACAGGTACAATTGAAATAAATGATATCGATGAAAAAGATGAACAAACATTAACAGAGTAATATTTTAAAAAAATATATTTTTTAAAATAACATTATATTTTCTTTTAAATATAGTCCAATCGATGAACAAACTACATAAAACATATGACATTCATAATCAATTTATCTATTTTTTTTTCTCGAACTGTTCTTTTTTTCTCCATATACGCACTTTTCTTATAAAACAAGTCAGATACTAACATTTGATGATATGATGTACTAGCTCTTTTTTTGTCTCTTATTCCATGTTAATGTATAGCTTAATTGCTCGTGCGTGTATCGTTTAACTCTCTAGTTCCATCCTTTTTTTCTCTATGACTCCATGTGATGGATTTTTTTCTTATGCAATAAAAATACAAACGATTCTTAGGTTTTTATCAAAATCTAGTTGAAATATTTTAGAATATATGAATAATTGAAAAAATGACTATTCCATTAATATTTTTGAAAGTATAATATAGTTGAATTTAAACAAAAGAATATACAGGTTGATTACGTTATTTTTAATAGTTTTGTATAGTTTGCTGTATTTATGCAATACATTGAAAAGTTCTTATTTTAACACAGTTGGATAGAGCATCGGCTGCTCTATCAAGACATATAATTTGCTTTTTACTTTCTTTAGCTCTAGCCCAAAAAATTAATATATCTCAAACAACTATGAAGAAAAATTTTTTAGGGTTCTTGACATGATTTTTAATAGTTTCATTTTTCACATACAGATTGTTCGTGCTATGCTTAATTGTATTCGCGATAACACGTGCACATTATATATTGAGCAATTTTTTTCTTTCCTGTTTATGACAGTTATAGTCTGCTACTTTTATTCAACTCGTTAAAGTTCATTTTAATAAATGCCACGTAATAAAATTTCTGATAATATCGAAGGGCGTATTCTGCAAATATTACGCCAAAGATACGCCCAGCCTCAAATTGTGATCATTTTGAAACTTAGTAGACTCAACCTACTGTGTCAAATGCCAAGCGAAAGATCGGGCGTCAGCGAAATTCTGAATCCGAAAATTAATTTTTTTCAAAAAAAACCATGGCAAACCACGCCTATAATGGCAAAGGTCATTAAGCAAGTTGACGTTGCAGATTCATCGACTCGCTATTATATTGACAAGGTTTTGAAACTATTTTTAACACGACACGTTGCACGTTTATTTCCGAAAACATAAAAAATAAAGGGACTTTTCCATTAAGACTGTGCACCAAGCTATACTTCCGAAAGAACAATTGGTTTTTTGAATGGAAATAAAATTTATTATTTTAAGCAAGGGGAAAGAATGCCTAGCAGTCCTGTTGGCGCACCAATGGGTTATTCAATATGGGGATATTTAGAACAACTTAACAGAACACATATTAATTCTCTTGGTGAATTTTACAAAAACCTTCTGCGTGATTGGAGAAAAATGAGTCAACCTATATCAATAAAGTATCAGCTTCCTCCTCAAAAAGAGTTTTAATGATATGTAAGGCTCGTGGTTCTCATATTGAACGCCGTTTATAACTGCACTTTTTTTGTGTTTATATATGTGAAAAATAAAACTATTAAAAATCATGCCAAAAACCCTAAAAAAATTTTCTTCCTAGTTGTTTGACATTCATCAATTTTCTGAGCTAGACCTAGAGAAAGTAAAAGGCAAATTATATGTCTTGATAGAGCAACGGATGCTCTATCGAAATGCGTTAAAATAAAAACTTTCCAATGTATTGCATAAATACAGCAAACTATACAAGACTATTAAAAATAACGTAATCAACCTGTATATATTCTATAGAATTTTTCGTTCTATAGACCAGTAGACCCCCTTACCCACTTATTTCTCAACATATTTTATCATCAAGCGATAGATCTTGATCAGATCTATCAATTAATAAATGATTGAAAGTGGATCGACATGTTTCAGAAAGTGAAACATACTCTACTATCGTTATAACATGTATATATTCTATAGAATTTTTCATTCTTTAGACTAGTAGACCCCTTTACGTACTTATTTCTCAACATATTTTATCATCAATCGATAGAGAAAAGAAAGATCTTTAATTTGATATATAAATCAAGGAAAGGTGAAAATGAAATAGCGCAGCAATAATTACTAAACCTTCATCTACGTTACTGCTTTTTCAAGCATATAACAACAGTAGCTAAAGCGAGTTGGGTACAAGGTGGAATTTATCAAATTGTATAATTTCAATAGAAATAGAGTTCTGGCACTGAAACTGACAAAGTTAGAAACACAAAGTCGAATTCAGAGTGGGGGCCGTTTTTGCTTCTTATCGCCCCCCCCCCCCTCCTTTCTAAAATCCGTTACTACATCCTTTCGTACGCGTGTTCATCACGCTCGGTACGCGCATTTTGCGTGACGTTCGTACGCGTACGAGACGTGATGTACCGTACGCGTACCAAGCGTGACAACACGCGTACCAATAGCGTTCGGGTTGACTTGGGATCAGTTTGATCGAAAATGAAATATACAGATTAAAAGTGAACTTAATATGAAGTATTTCTATAATCATTTTTTTTCTGATGTGAAGATGTGAACTCGACGTCGCCACTGGTAGTGCATCATGTAGTCAATTGATGATTCTAGTTACATTTTTTTTCGTCGGACAACGTACTACATTACGATAGGTGAAAAAAAGAGAACAAGTACGTGTTATCTATAATGACATTGACCTGTACATCGACGTTATTCTTTCGAAAGAGGTCATCTATTCTATTCTTGACGGACGACAACAGCTATAAAGAAATAACAATGAACACCGATATATAATATCATGTTGAGAAAAGCAACACAAACAAAATTAAATATGTATCGTACTGACACTCATCTACTCGATTTGCCTAATGAGATATTAATGACTATTTTGAAGAAACTGGACAATATGATTATTCTCAATTTATTAATAGGTATTGGTATTGAACGACTAGAATCTTTAGCAAAAGATATAATCTTCACTAACACTCTCAATTTTGTATCCAATGATACTGATAACATTTGTTCAATTAATGATTCAATACTTGATCGATTTTGTAGTGATATATTATCACAAATTCATTACAATGTTCAATATTTTATTTTTGAATCAATGATCATGGAACGTATTCTACTTGTTACTAATTATCCTAATCTAAATAAACTCAAAATCTTCAAATTCAATCAAGATATTGCTTTACGTTATTTTACAGGTAATTAATTCCTATTCTCATCTATTCAACGATTGTGATAAAAAAAAAAAGAACGATAGAAAAGAGAAAAGTAATATATGTATTTATTTCTTCTTTAGATGAAACACCTTTTCGAAATATTTTCAAACAACAAATTATAGATCTTACGCTTATAATTGATGAAAAAAATGATCTTACAGAAACAATTGATTACACAACAAATGTATATACACATATCTTGAATTTCTTCGAAAATCTAAAGCATTTTAGTATTTTTCAACCATCTACTAAGATGTCTACAAGTTTATCACTTCAAGATTTACCATCGACTACTTTTTCTTCTTCAACTCTAATCAAATTATGTATTAATGTACTTAATATTGATGATTGTCTTTCTCTACTTAATGGTCGTCTCGAACAACTTTCTATTTTGATTGTTACTATTGATAATGTAAAGAATCATGCATCAATAGTGTGCAATTCGGTGAGTCTATATTATAGTTCATGAAATTTTCAAAATAAAATTATATCCGTCTGCCAGATAAATTTTTCACTAATAACAAGATTTGTTTGTTTTAAAAGTAATTTGTGTGTATATAATACAAATAACCATATTTCTTTAATAGAATCAATTGTTGGACATAGAAGAATAGTTCTTGTTTCAAATTATATCTGAATGAGTCGAAAGTTAGTCAACCAAAAAGAAAAAAGAAAACGAAACTCTTTAAAAAGCTTCAAATCTAGTCTATCTTATAGAATTTTTGACACTGATCATTTTGATATAAAACAAAAATGTTTCAAATTAATCAATAAATAAAGATGCTACGATCAAAATACTGATAAGCCTTACATGATAATGCAAATTTTACATCTTTCAATATTTTGACTCTAATATCTTTATATATATTCTTGATTTAAAAAGTATCTTTTTATAAAAATGATCAACGCAAAAAGTCTTCGAAAGTTAGCTTATGTTTAAAGTTATCTGATGATTTTTGTGTTTGTTTTGATTAAGTATCGATGAAATCACCAATAAATGATTTCCTTCATATTTATTGTCTCCTAATGTGCTCAAATTTCATAGTGTTGTGTTACTCACTCTTACCATTATGTATTACATCGGATAGAATACAGAAAGGATTAACCAAAGAATTAAAAAAAAAACTTATTGATTAGTTTTCGATTATATAATTTTTCATTAAATTGACAAACATCGATTGCTTTATATTTTATAGAATGCTTTACTTAATTTGAAATGTTTCTCATTGACAATTTACGATTTATCTTACGGATACGACACTCAAATTGTACCACTTGTTCGTCGTATGCGTAATCTCGAAGAATTAACTTTATATCTTTGTATAAAAAATCGAACTAGATTTGTTGATGGTACTCAACTTCATAATGATATTCTTATTTATATGGTACAACTTAATAAATTCATCTTTTATATCAATACAGAGATTCAACATGATCATTTAATTCCTTGTTTGTCAAACAAGGATATTCAACAAACTTTTACTAATCTAGGATATGAACAAGTGGGTTGTTTTGTACATTGTTCAATTGCTAATTATGCTAATTGTCATGTCTTCTCACTTCCATTCTTATTTGATCGTCTCGAACCGATTGGCAATAACTTTCTAAATGTTATATACAAGAATGTTACTTTTTTATATGTGAGAGAGTTAATACCATTGAAACACGAATTTTTCGTTCAAATTGCTCGATGTTTTCCATTGTTGAAATCTTTGTGTATAATATACTTTAGATTAACTTGGCTATCAAATCTTCATAAATTAGAATTCGATAATAATGCATCATATTCAATTATCGAATATCCTCATATTACGTCACTTGACATTATGTATGCTGATATTTATTACATTGACAAGTTTTTAGATGAGTCAAAAACACGTCTACCTCATCTGATCGAATTAAAAATCAAGTATCAAAGATTAGAAATTGTGACAGAAAACTTTACAAGACATGCAACACGATTCAATTGCATGAAAATAAAACGGCTAATTCTTGAAAAGACAATGGTACATGGAAAAGATTTTCATGATTATTTTCCTTTATTGTAAATTTAATTTTCTTCTGATTATTTGAATAAAATAAAGTAGAGAATGATGTTAATATTATTGTGACATGAAATAGTCCTCAATATATTTGAAAAAAAGTTGATTACATATCGAATAAAAGATTTTCAAAACATATAGAATAGATGTAGAAATGATGTTCATAATCTATTCAAGAATATGTGTATCAAGTTGAATAAAAATTTAAATAGAATTTTGAAATATATTGAAGATTTCGATCATACACGATTGACAAATATATTTCAAAATGATCTTAGATATATAAAGGGTGTATAATAAGTTCTGATCCACTTCGAGTAATATTCTTTTCTTATATGTTTTTTCAGCAGAATAGACTGATAGTTGTAGCATATATACTAGACATCTTGATCTATTATACAGTACAATTTCAGCTTTCTATCTGTTCTAGTCAGAGAGATAGAAGTAACCTAAAATGTTTAGGGAGGGTCGGGGTCGGGACAGGATTACGTAATCCTTTGAAAATTTTTGCAGATTATTAAAATACATAATTCAGCCGTATTGTTGACATGCTAGTTTGAGAAAGGCGTATAAGAAAACGTTCTAAACGTTTGCATTATCAACTTTACTAGTCGAATTTCTAAATACTAGCATTTTTGAAAGCATAGTAAAATGAAAAATCAAATCGTTTCGGATGGAGTCGATTTATTACATCGCTTCTATTGCTTTGGAGATCACAGCGGAACTGAACTAGATTTTCATTATCAAGTTTGATCTTTGAACATATTTTCCTATTTTGGTTCGTGTAACGAATGGATGATCTATGTGAGACGATTGCAAGCCATTTGTACAATTCAGAAAAAAACAATGGGTGGGTGTGGATGGGTGTGGGTGTGGGTGGGTGTGAGTGTGGGTGGGGTGTGGGTGTGGGTGGGGTGTGGGTGTGGGTGGGGTGTGGGTGTGGTGTGAGAGTGGGTGGGTGTGGACGTGTGGGGTGTGGGTGTGGGGGCTTTCCACCTCATATCCACACACCCACACCCTATGTTCATTAGGATACAGAGTAGACGAACACACTCATATGTAAGATATGTTGTCATATGGTATGTTGTTTTTATTTTAATGCATTTCTTTTGAATTAAATGCAATTTTTTTTATTTCAAGGAGTTGCATATTTTCTTTCATTGGTTCTGCTTGTTAAAATCAGCAATACCTATCATCATTTGAATATTATTATGTATAGGAATGTACTAAGAATAAAAAACCAGTAATTCGTACATTAACTGGAACAAAAATTATATTATCTCAACGTGTCAATGGCCTAGTTTGATTGTGAATAACTTGATAATTGCGTATTTTAATATGTACCATAAATGAAGAGTAAAAAAAGAGGCCGTTCCTTTATCTATTACGCTTGTGGATCTATTCGAAAAAATTAAGGTGATCAAGTGGCACATGTTATTTCACATGGAAATATCGGTGAAAAATATCTTGTAACGAATTCTTTATAAATTTTCTAGATCGCATCTCGTGTGAAATGAAATGAAATTCGAATATATCGTGCTAAACTATTATATTATCTTATTATTATTTTTATTTGTTTACTTTTGTGAATGATAATCAATGACAACATTTACTTATGATTGTTTGCTTATTTCATTTGTTATTATAAAATACAAAATTCAAAAGCTGATTCAATTTCATGAACTGTCGAAAAAAAAATGAAAATTTTAAAACAATTAAACTTTTACAATAATATTCTTTGGATGAACAGATCTGAGTATCAACAAAATTTTAGATCAAAATAATCTGTTATATAAGTTTGAAAAAATCTTTCTTTGTTAGGTGGATTCATCACAACAGAAAAGAATGAAACAACATATATTCTTGTTTTGAATACAAATGTATTTATATCGACATCAGAGATGGACGAGTCAGCAAAAAAGTCGCACCGTCACCACCCCATCCCGCTCCGTTGATAAAGTTCAGCACCGCCACCGCCCCGCCTGTTCAGCGTTGAAACCGTCACCGCCCCGTCCAAAATGTTTTCAAAAACTGTTTCTCGACAAATTTTTCCTTAAACTTTCATAATGACTATTTTATTTCATGAGATGAAAAGGCATATTTTAAATGCATAAACATCATTTCGAAATAGAAAAAAAAATAAACATGAAAATGAAAAACAATTACAATAAAATCACTCATTTTGTGAAACTCACTTATATTTTCGAAGAAAATAGTAAGTGTATGTTTTAAGTTTGAGATTTGGCGGCTCCCCCTCCCCTCTCCCCATCCCATTACAGACACATAGTAGCCGGAAAGAGAACAATACAGATGTACCCCAATTACAGACATACCCCTCATCACAGACACCCCACCATTACAGACAATCCACCATTACAGACAATCCACCATTACAGACAATCCACCATTACAGACCTCAGCAACCGCGAATAAAAGGCTCTAGTTTTCATATAATATATCAATTATTTCATGCGTGTTCGAAAAAAACGTATTTTACAATTTAAAAATTAGGCACCAGGATAGAAAACTTTGAAAATATACGTGGGTTCCACATTTTAGCTCCTTTGGAGCTGCACTAACAAGCTTCTTTTTACTGATTAGTTTTGCGTGAAAAAGTTTTAAAAATTTTTAAAAGATGTCTCTAAAGATCTGAGTATATTTAAAAAATCAAGGTTATACAAAGGCGGGAAAACCGCGAAATTTCGTCATGCACTGTCACAGCCCCGCCCCGTCAAATTTTCGCACCGCCCCGCCAACGGAGCGGGGCGGTGTTACATCGCGGCTCGTCCATCTCTGATTCCTACACCCACCTACCCTAAGAAGACGATACTTCTCCCTTCACCGTCATCCAACCATCAACATCGTTTTAGCGAAAAACAAGACGTACACGAGTTGTATTTTACATCCATATCTTCGTACAGTTTTTTCCGTGAGTTTTTACAGATTTCAGAAGAAGTGCGTCGTTAGATTAGTGAAACGAAGATAAAACATTGAACTGGATATATTGGAATCCTATTCTTTCATCGTTAGAAATAGAGTTAAATCTGAGAATGTATAGAACAATAGATGTTCTATTGGATTGTTTCTAGAATGAATGTGTTACATAATTAAAATTATTCCTCTATACATATGTTTAAAATAATGAATCCAGTCTTCATATTTTTGTTTAAGACTCTAAAGTTACAAAAAAATTATTCAGATAAGTCAATGATGAAGTTTCGATATCCCAATTATTTCGTTGGCATTGTGTCAAATTGCTTTGTACCATCAATTGATTTATCCCAAAAAGGCTTTGATTTACAGCACAGTTCCATTGATGGTTTAGGAATTTCATCAAATAACCCCTAATTTAATGACTTGGACACCAGGCATATTAGGTGAAACTGTATAAATTGGGCTACCACAATTGCTACAAAACCCACGCTGTATCGTCTTTCCACTATCAGTATTACTATCTTGAGAAATCTTTGGTTCACCGCTAATTTTAACAGCCGATATTGGAGCAATAACATTGATTGATCCAAGACAGCCACCAGATTGGCGACAATTCTTGCAACGGCATAAAGCAATATTTTCAGTTGCATTTAGTGCTTCTTGGGTAATAGAAACAGTGATCTGACCACACGAACATTTGCCGGTGGTAGAATTCATTTTGGTCGACATTTGTTTTTCTCTTTACTGGAATATAATGAAGCCCATTATGCTTTTAACGTGTCTATAAATATGAAGAAAGGAGAGACATCAGCTACTCACGTCGTTGTTTTGTTGTTGTGAAGAACGAGCGGCAAAGATGCATGAGTGATGAATTGCGACTTGAACTGTGTGACTATCAGAAATTTCTATTCACTTCGGATCACAATCGTCACTTACGTGTTTTTACTTTCTGTTCCGAATAGTAACAGAACAACGAAGTAAATGTGAGGGATTGCTGTTTCTTTTATTCTTAAGGTGGAGTTTGATATATCTGATGCATTCGCTGTATTAATTGCATCTTTTCCTTTGTTCTAAACATAGAAGTCTGACCAAAAACATATAGACAAATATAGCCACATAATAATTTCCTTTCTGGGGATGTAGGCATGGATGTGCGTGTTGCTCACAACGGTTCAGGCCCACACCCATAATCACCACTTACATCCACTCACACACATACCCACACTCACAACAACCTCACACTCCATACTCACACCTGCACAATCGTCTCCCTTGTCACACTGATAGCCAATACTGTAAACTAACGATAAGAAAAGCCTTCTGTGAATGTTTATAACATCGTTTGATTCTGTGTTCTCATCGTCAGTCCACACAGACTAAGTTCTGTCATCGTATCTAAGATGTAAACTGGGATAGCATTTAGATAATTTAATTCGTTGGCATTGGCCATTGGCGATGACCAAAGGCTTGCTAAATACGTACGAGCGATACGAATAGTTAAAAAGGCATTGAGGAGCTTGACCCAAATCAACTGCAGCTAGCAAAACTACTATGCCAGTAAACAATGAAGCAACCATTCTAGTTGAGTCCTTTTTCTTTGCTTTTTTTAAAATTACAATAAATCTTTCCCCACTTTATGTTCGTGCGTGAAGCACCTCTAGCACATTATATCACGAAGCAAAAGTGTCACTTGAGTTTTATCAGTATCACATAGTCTTCATAAGGCTGTGTTCTTGAGATAAGAGTTGTCACCCTCTACATTGCGTTATAAAGAAAAAAGCTTTTCCAGAATTTATTTTACACGTACTTCATCTGATTAAGAAGCGTGTACGTGTAGGTGTCGAATGTGGATGTGAGGGAGAATGTAGATCCACACGCAGACATACTCATATCCACATCCACACCCTCTAGTGTTTTTGAGATGACTCATGGCATTTATTTAAATGATACTGTAAAAGTGCAGTATTTTCGCAGCAATAAACTAAAGGTCCGAACTCTTCTCAAAGTATTCATAGTTCATTTGGAGCTACATAACCGAGAATCCCATGGAAGCTTCGCCGTCGCGGCGGCGTCAGCGGGGCAGGAGATGTTTTTAAAATGCCTTCGCGGTACTGCCAGTTTCCTGTTTCTGTAAATTCTAAAATTGCATGAATTGGCACCGAATTTGAGTGTCTGCAAGTCCAACAATCAGAATCATGATGAATATGATAGACTCAATCGAACTGTGCTAATTAGAAGTGGCGAAAGAGATTTTTGAAGAGTTTTCAGAAAACTATCGCGGCAGCAGTGCAGTAGTCTTTTTTCTTCTAGGACTGTGGCATGCCAGCTGTAGATTTCCAACCGTGATGGATATCTATGTTACATAATGCATATAGTTTCGACGACTCAAAAGCGAATTATCAGTTAGATAAAACAATAGTTTTAATAAGTTCTTCTTATTTTAGCTGATATTGATATTGAATAATATTGTCGAATTAATAATCTTCTTACAGGAATTCAAAGAACTTTATATCGACTTCTTTTATAACTTTATCTCACATATAATAAAGTTTCAAATAAAGTATTCTAATATATTACATATCTTCAACCTGTTGATATTGATAGTCCATTTCTATGACAAATTTTTTCTTTAACTGATATGTTTGTTTATTTTCAAATGATCTCAAACACATAGTTTAAAATAGATGTTTTTTTTTTATTTATAGTTTGGATGTCACCAATTGCATTTTTTTCGATGTTTTTCAGTGTGTTTGTCAGATTTTCGTTTCGGTTTTATTTACATCTCAATGCTTAGGTTTTTTTTTATATATACTTTTATTAATGGATGAGAATGATTTAGAAAATAAATTTAATTTTTTTAGTCATAATTCTTATTTGACTTGTGTATAATTTCTAACGTTGGAATAATTGTTTGATTGATGCGTAAATATTAGAAGATATATATGAAAAGCATGGAATTCAATTGATCAGAAATGATTCTAAAAATCGAAAGACTAAACTAGCTTATCGTACAATACATTAAGGCCCCCCCCCCCCACCCAAAAATCGATCTCAGCCCAGGAAAGTTTAAATGGGCTGAAACTTGGAGCATATGTTGGGGCTGAAGTGAGGAGGCTGTGATAAAATTTTCAGCTCGATACCCTGATGTTTGACAGAGATATGAACCAAACAAGGGCCAAAAATAGCTCATTTGGCAATCCATTTTTCTTTGTCCAGGCTCTTTCAATATATTTAATTTTTTTTTGTTTGAAAGAGCATCTCAGGATGCAGTGCAGTATAGAGTCCTTTTTTTTAAATTCTTACTTTTTTAGCGAAAAAAGGGAATCACAAGTTCAGTGACTCAAAAAACGCGCCAAAAATGGGTGTCTAATTACATAAATGTCTGTATATATAATAAAAAATAAAGCTTAATTAAAAAAGGACTCTGTACTGCACTGCATCTTGACGTGCTCTTTCAAACAAAAAAAAATTAAAATATATTGAATGAGCCTGGACAGAGAAAAATGGATTGCGCGGTTCAGAAAGCCTATACTGAGAAAAAACGAAAAACATTTTTCGTTTTTTTTTAAATAAGCATATTTTTCAAGAAGAGCTTAACAAAAATCATCGAAAACTTTGACCAAAAACGAGGTGCCGAAGAAAAACCAATGTGGTTTCTGAAAGAGCAGAAGACGGGCTATCTTCCGATGCATTTATCTCAATTTCGATAATTTTGACGAAAATTGACTTTTTTTGAGTGGGGGGGGGGGGGGGGGGCTTAAGTAAAAAATTATGAAGGTGTGACAAGAGATGAAATCATATAAAATAGAATTGTATCTCAATAATCATAAGTTAGGCATAAATAATAGAAGATTTTCTTTTGTACAAGAGTGTTGGTGTGGCAGTAAATGTATAGATGTCGATTTAGGCTTTCTCGTCACACTCACACCCAAACAATTCATGTGTCAACAATAATGAACCTATTACTTTTTACTGAAATACCAAAAAAAAGAACGAGACTAGGGTAGTTTTTCCAGAAGCTAACTGTACATGAAAAAGAGTGAAAACTTCACTATTTGTTTTGTCATGTTGACTACCTACAACAATACTCTTATGTTTTCTCTATTTGATTAGAGGATAACACATTTTCTTTTCCTTTGACTCACGTCTTCCACGTTTACAATAAATAAATATTTGACGAACATCAACATGAAACTTGCATGTAGTCATCTATTTGATAAAGTTGTGTTCTTTCCTTTCTCAAGTTATCATGTGTTTTTTGTGAATAATTCTTATCTCTCGTTAGATTTCTGTTTTTTTGAGAAACTTAAAACAATCGAAGAACGACTACTAAATACAACACTACATATTGATATTTGAGTATAAGAAATACTAAAGACTCTTATGTTATGAATATGAATCCTTGTAAGCTTTCATTTGTTTCAATAGGATCTATTTAATGAGATAAGATTCATCTTCAAATCGATTTATCAATTAGTGAAGTTTGTTCGTTAATCTTGACTAGACATAAGCCAGGTTCGAAATTGGGCCACTTTTTGATAGACTCACTGCAGTCATTTATGAGAAGATTATAAAAAATTCGTTATCATAGGATCACAAGTTGAATCAGGTCGGACAATTTTAATGCTTGAAAAAGCAGCATAAGAGATATAAGTCGAATTAGTTATTGAACAGACAGACAGACAAAGACTCTAATTTCTTGAAGACTATGATTTATTAACATAAACTTTGATCAGTAAAATACCTCCTGATCAATTTCAAAGAGTCAGATTTCGTCTTTTTTTATCAATTAATATAATAGTTTTATCAGTTGAAACTTTATCAAAAATCGATTTAGAAAGATCAATATCAAATGAAATCTATCTCCGGAATTGAAAAATCAGATGTTTTTCTGTTTTCTTATGTGAGAAATCTTTCTTAAAAAAAGAAATAAAGTTCAAGTCGCCCGACTCGTTTCGAGCCCTTGGCGTACTGAGTATAGATATGTTCAAGATGATCCCAGTCCCGCAATCAAGGCCAACACTTTTTCATTGAGAATGATACCTCTTATGATCATATGAAACTTGCATCCGATGTTATATTGTCACGACTGGTGTATTCTAAATAGATACGGACCATATGGTTCGAATCCCGACATAATAAATGATTAGTGTTGAGTATCCAACGATGATCGATCATTTGATACTACTAAATATTCTTAGCATACACAGATGTTCGATTACCAATTGCACTTGAAAGTAAATATGTAGTTTAGTCTGTGTAACTGACGTTTGAATCCATGAAATGGAGATCTACAACATTAGATGCAAAACTGGATTAGTTGTTTCGGGCTTCTGTTTCAATTCGAACAAAAATTTTATTAGCAGAAAACTTAATTAATTCTCTGTAACAGCAACTCTTTTAATCATAGTTCTAAATAGCAGGTGGACCATAATGAATCGCAGCTTTTTGGATGTCATCTTTTCATAATCTAATATATTTTATTACAAAACTAAAATATATCACAAGATGCACTGACAAAAGTTCTACAATTTACAAAGAAAAGTATATTTTATGTATATACATCTTTTATTTCAAAAAAAAGGATGAAATTCTGTTCGACCAATTTTTGACACTACACACCAGACCATTCTTTAGTACGCAATGAATTAATTTTGTTATTTCAACGATTAAAGAATCATAATTTTCAACTTTATTCTATTGTGTACTATTGTCAATGGTGTTCCATATATAATAATTCAAAACTTTGAGATCAGAATTATTTGTTGGTCATCTGTGCTTATCTATGAAATACTTTGCGCATCATGTCAACGATTCTTTTTGTATTATTGATAGATGAAATCATCGACCGACAACTGTTTATCTTCAGTGAGACCATTTTTAGAAGTGTCTAATCATTTTTTGAATACTTAGCTTATTCATTTATGTCTTCTATCGACTAGCAGTGTAAACACATTCTAGTGAAAAGTATTTTTATCGTTAATGAATAGAATTTTCTTCAGTTGATGAGATAAAAAGTGAATTAGTTATTCATCAAAAAATGTTCTTGTTCAAAGCATCGAAAATTTGTATAATAGAATTTTGTTGTTTTCATAGAACAAAAAGTACATATATAAAATAAAGTTTTCTTTATAAATTATAGAGATTTTTTCAGTACATCTTGTAATATTATATTTTGTTTTATAATAAAATGAAAAGATGACATGCAAAAGTTACCCAATCATTATGACTTACTCATCATTATTAACTATATTCTTTTTCTAGACAAATGATAACAATGATGATAAACGATCTCGTTCACCTTCACCATCATCTCTAACAAATTCTAAGCGTATTTCTTCAACATTTAAACCGTCCATGATTTCATCACCAAATATACTTTCTGATCGAACTAATCAAATAATTATTAACAATGATAATCAATTATTATCCAAAGGTATTAAAAGAAAATTAAATACAAATCGTTATATGACACTTGATTTTGAAAATGATACAGACGATTTTTTCTAACCCTAGATTTCTTTATAGAATTTTATTCAGATATTTTTGTATTTATTTATTTTATCATGATATTCTTTCGAACTTATTGTAATTAAATATAAATAGATTAAAAATAAGATAATAAAAGAAAACATATGCGAATACATATTTTTTCAGAGATGTGCATTATATTGAAAAAAAATAGTGACGGCGATGGCAATCTCTATCATTATTATGAATTTCTTTCAAAAAAAGAACGTGCAAGTTTCTCGACTAGTGAAGCTTTTCAAATAGATTTTTGTCCGTATTCTTTCATATTGTTTTCAATTTCTTTTGAAAAAAAAATTCATCTCATTATCATACTGTAAAAATAATAAGAGAGAAATAATGAATGTTGTTATTATTTTTCTTTTATTGATTTAAGTTTAAGATGCGTACTGTATTGCGTATAAACAAGCAAGAATGTTTTGCAAAAAGAATAGAGATAGCACTGATGAATATCTATCGAAATTTTCAACATATAAATTTTCTGATTGACTTTCATTTGAATTATTTGATATAGTTTATATTATTAAAACTTAGATAGTGTAAATCAATCAATATGATCATTATTTCAAAATTTTGGTTAAAAATAAGAAACTATTCTCGTTAAGACTTATTTCTATATAAAGTTTCAAGTAGAAATTCGAAAACCAGTTTTTCTGATATTTCTAAGGAAGATCACGTTATTGACGTTCAAAAGCCATAAAGGTGCATATCTCCGCAGTAATAAGCTAAGGATATAAATTCTTTCAAAGTATTTACAGCTCATTTGCATCTATATAATGCATATAGTTTCCATTGACAAGCAATTTATTAGTTAGAGGACTTTCCTCGTCAGACAATAGAGAAATGAGTTCATTGCGAACAATCTATTGAAAGATAGTAGTGCATTAAAGCGATCTTTTTTTTACATAAAGATTTTTTTATTCAAATATAGAAAAATTCTTAAAAGTCAATTTTCTTTATTATATTTCAAATTAAAATTAAAATTAAAGATAAAAAATTACATTATTAAACAAACAATCTATAGAATTTCTCATTTCAAATTTATGAATTAGCAAGTACACATATTTCTTGATTACTTAATTGTCGATCGTAAATTCGAAATTCATCAATAGAACCTAAAAAAGATCCTGATGAAATAGATATAGAACCACTTAGACAATTAACCGGTGTTGATGATCCCGATGGACTCAGATTACCTAATGTGATATACATTGGAACATTAGTGTTATATAAAGAAAGGGATCCAATGTTTGATGATGCAGTACTAAATTGTCCATTGATAAAAAGACGTACACCATTTGTAGAACCGTATACAACAGCTATATGAGTCCATGTGTTTGCTGGTATGATAGGACCTTGAGCACTACTAACACTTAGAGTTGTTGTCATCCATTGACATATTAAATTTCCAGTGCTTGTAAAAACAAGAAGATCAAAACAAGTTCCATTACCATTTGAATTCGAAGATAAATGTACTAATGTACCGCCACTTGTAGTAGAGTTTGGATTAACCCAAAGTGAAAATGAAAATGATTGCTCGTTGCCACGCATTCTTGGAAAACATTGTGATTCAAAATAGCTTGTACTTGATGTAAAAGAAATAGCTTGATTAACACGACCTGATGATATTATTGTCGTACCAGATGCATAACCATTACAAAGATTAACACTATAATTATTATATGTTCCAATTGTATCAAATGGATAATATACTATTAATGATGCATCATTAGAAATTTGACAAGCACTTCGAGCAACGCCAGCTGTTATTGTAAAATGATCTATCCGTCTACAGAAGAGAAAAAAAAAGAAACAGATTTAATATTTTTTAATTCTGTGATTATTGAAAATCGTTTTACATTAATAAAAAATATATCATTGAAGAAAATAATTGATATTTCTTACCATTGAAAATATCCAGTTCCATCAGCCAACGATGAACTTCTTCCAATTATTGTTGAACTTAATGAAACTCCTTGATAAGAATTAACAATACCATTTGATAAAGCATCGATTTGACCATCAACATAGATTTGTTGTTGAAATAGAGTTGCATCATAAACAACTGTTACATGAACCCATTCATTCGAACTAACTAAAGTTGAACCAGTCAATGTAATATTATTAGAATTCATAGAATCAAAAGAGAGTACAAAACGTGCATTTCGTAAATTTAATGACATACAAATCGAATTTGAATCACATTGACTAAATATACCAAAATCAGTTGACGCATTGATAGATATTTGACGGAGCCATGCTTGTAACGTAAAACTTTGTTTAGACAAATTTATATTTGGAATTAGAACATATTGTTGTAAATTCGGATTTAAAGCTATTGTCTGACTTATATAAGCTCCTACTGTATAAGAGGGTGCAGACGTACCAAATGCCGTTCCTGTATAATAACCACTTTGATCATTCGTGTTTCCATCAAAAGGATAGAGAGCAGTAACTATCGATGAACGATATGAAGTTTCTTTGCCAATACATGTTGAAGATGAACAACTCGAAACAGTTGTATTAGTAAATGAAGCTGAAGTTAAATTTAGATTAAAAAAAGAATCTTGAATGATTTTAATAATTCATTTACATTCAGAATGAGTTCGACGAATGACGAATACATAGATAGGTGGAATAATAGCAACTGCAAGAATCGAGATTATAATAGCTGCAACAATTAATCCGAAGAGTATCTTTTGTTTGAATGTCAAAAGACTAAATAAAGAGAAGCCAAGAAAATTCCTTGTATTATGAGTGGAAACTATCGACTTTATATTAGAATATTGAATTGTCAAAAAAAAAAGACAAGATGATGTAATTATATTTTAAACATTTATTTTTGCTCAATTCTTTGTCAAGATTAGAATACTATAAACAAACATTTACTAACTTACTTAAACCAATTGATAAAACGATGTCCAAGATTTGTTGTCTGTGTTGTCAAATTACTTTTGTTATCAATCAAGGATAATGGAGGATTTAGTACTATCTAACGATGATAATTTGTCACTTTTTAATTTGTCAGTAATATATCCACTATTTCTTAAAGGCAATTGTTGTATAGAGATACATTCTGGTGAAATCGATCGAAGACTATCAGGAACGGTTGTATTTGTATTCGTTGTGGTGTGGTATTGTTCATTATTATCAGATGGTCTTACCTATTTAACAAATTCATGAAAATTATACTAGAGATTGAGATTATTACCTTTGTTTTAATAACATTTAATCTTGTTACGTGTTCGATACGAGCCACATTGTGTTTTCCAACACTTGTTACTTTATTCATTAAATGAATATATGTCTCAAACGTACTGAAAGAACATGTAAAAAAAATAAAATGAAATATACATAGAAGATTGACTGTTTGTTTGAAATATTGTGATTGACTTGCACTATTTATTGATGAATTACATTGAAATCTGAGAAGTTTGATTAATTGTATTATTCACATGGACGAAGTTTTATTAGATTCATGTTGTAATTGTTGATTTTTTTTTCTTTCTGTTTTTCAAGTCTACTATTGAATGAATAGTATTACACAATGAAAAAAAAACAATATTGTATTTCTTTTAATAATTATATCAAGCGAATCGATAGAATACTCATTTTTGACTAGCAGTAAAAGTCAATAAAATCGTGTTTGTTTTATATATGTCCGATTGTAGATTTTTAAAAATTCGAAAAGAAAAAACAATAGCGAGAATTTCTAAAATTTATTGAATACTTCTATTTCGCTAAAGAAAAGAATGATCTTGTCCTAAATATTTTTTTTGTATCTGTCATTTTATAAACAACATGTATTCTACAGAGTAGAGACAATCGTGATTATCTTTGACGAATAAGAGAACTTTTATAAACCTCTAATTTCAATATTTTAAGATTTTAAGATTTTATGTTTTTCTTTTCGTAGTTTTAGTATTTGATGCAAACTAATCAATCGAGTCGCCGAAGCTTTTTGAAATGTTTCTCGTTGACAATTTACGATTTTCTTACGGATACGACACTCAAATTGTATCACTCGTTCGTCGCATGCGTAATCTCGAAGAATTAACTTTATATCTTTGTATAAAAAATCGAACTAAATTTGTCGATAATACTCAACTCCATAATGATATTCTTATTTATATGGTACAACTTAATAAATTCATCTTTTATATCAATACAGAGATTCAACATGATCATTTAATTCCTTGTTTGTCAAACAATGATATTCAACAAACTTTTACTAATCTAGGATATGAACAAGTGGGTTGTTTTGTACATTATTTAACTACTAATTATACTAATCGTTATGTCTTCTCATTTCCATTCTTATTTGATCGTCTCGAACCGATTGACAATAACTTTCTAAATGTTATATATAAGAATGTTACTTTTTTATATGTGAGAGAGTTAATGCCATTGAAGCACGAATTTTTCGTTCAGATTGCTTGATGTTTTCCATTGTTGAAATCTTTGTGTATAATGTACTTTAGATTTACTTGGCTATCAAATCTTCATAAATTGGAATTCGATAATGATGCATCATATTCAATTATTGAATATCCTCATATTACGTTACTTGACATAATCATCGAGTCGCTATTTTTGTCTTTTTGTTAAATATAAATTCATTCATTCAAACGATGGTAACTATTTCTAATTTTTAATCTCGATAATCTAATATGAAATTTTCTTTTGTATTAATATTTAAAGTTGTATACACAATCGATTCACCTTCATCAATGTCCAATGCATCATCATTTACAATATCAACATGAAAATCCTTCAGTTTAACCTCAACAATCATCAACAAGTGATGTAGATGAAACATCAATATCACCATCATCACTCAACAGAGGAGTATTATGTCTTGTTGAAAAAAAACTTTTTTTTTTTATTCAGCTAATTACATCATACAATTTTATTTTATAGAATGTTACTGTCGCTGCTAAAATAGTTAAGAAAAAAAAGCATCCAAAAAAGAAACGTAAAGATTCTAGTGAACCTCAAAAGTAAATAAAAGTTTAATCATTTTTTAATAAATAAATATAAACATTATATAATTAGATTGGTTTCTTCGTATGCACTTTTCTTTCGTGATACACAGAATGATATTAAAAAAAAAGGCTGATTCATCATTTGGGTAAGATGAATAATTATTTCAAAATTAAAACTGATCAATAGAAAAAAAATTTAGGAAAATTTCAAAACTTGATGCTCATATGTGGAAAAATATTGAACCAGAAGTTCAAGAAGTACATTATATTATACATTACATTATTTATTAGTATACTTTTGTTTTGTTTTAAATTAGCAATATATACGTAAAGCAGCTGCAGCTAAAAAAAGAATATCTTAAACAATTAGCTGCATATCGAGTTGTACAAGTTTTACATCAAGTAAATTAATAAAACAATCTTATAGAAAAAACACAAATTTTCATTGAAATACCTACTATGCATCATATTTATCAAATTAAAAATAGTTGGAGTAATTTATTTGATTTAATTTTGATTTTCGGCTGATTTTAATCAGTGCTTACTATCCCTAGATAAAGCTATTCAAAGATAAAGAAAATATAAGGTAATGTGACTACTTCTAGTTACATAGCTTTCTTTTCTCATCATTCTCCATGTATATGTCCATTCTTTTTTTTTCTCTTTCTATTTGTTTTCCTTCATCAAATGTGACTTTGTAAATATATATATATATATGATTCTTATTTGTTGTAAAGATAAAAAAGACATTAATGAACTTAGACCAGGAATTTCATAGACAAACATATAGAGAGAAAAAAAAGACATTAGTTAATTTTAATGAAATAGACATTGGATAAATCCATAGCAACAAAGAGAACAGATATTAGTCCATTTGCACTAGAGATTACACATGAATAAATACATAGAAAGAAAAAAAAAAATGAAATCCGTCCATTTGGACTAGATAGATTACACATAGATAAATTCATAGCAGCAAATAGAAAGACATCAATCAATTTAACTAGGAATAACACGTACACACACACATAAGAACATTTACAATAATATCAAAAAGAAAGAAAGAACAAGAAGAAAAAAAAATGACGATTTGAAATGTCACCAAAAAAAGAAAAAATTTTAATTACCATTTGTATGTTGTTATTGTGGTGGTTGATAATTGTTTGAGTTTTCTTTATTTGGCTCCATTAATATTAAAATTTGATCTACAAAAAGATAAATAAAATAAATATCATGACGTCTTCAATGAATGTAAAATGCTTACTCTTTACATCAGCAGCTAATACCAACAACTGTTCATAATATCGTTTGAGATCTAATAAATTTTTTGGTGCTGTACCACGTGGATATAAATTAATATTATTTTGTACATCGTGTCAGAGTTGTAACCGGTCCGGTCCGGCCGGTCCGGACCGGACCGGTTGAAGCAGTTCCACCGGCCGGTTTTTACCAGTTGAAATATATTTTATGAATATGCAGATTTTTCAGATAAAACTTGTTGATAACAAGTTTTTATACCTTTATCAAAATAATGAACTTGTTTTATTTCCAAAACTATACATTTTTTCTTCTGTTCCTCAATCTATTTTATCTGTTTAATCGTTATGCACTTTATTTTTTAAACAGTGCATTCGAAACTGCATTAATTCAGTTAAACTTATCTCATACACTTTTTGTGAAGATAAAATTTAGGTTCGAGTCATCGTCAAGAGAGATGCGTTATTTTATTTGTAAAGGTAAAGTGACTAAAAAATGATTCTTTAAATGTGCGAAACGTCTTTTTTTAATATTTAACTTCTACCTATATATTTAAATTATAATAAAATACTTAGAAAAAAAGGCACAAAATGCTTAAGATTAGGCCTTTTCTAATGAATGATATTGTAATTTTCTTGTTACATTGATTATTTTCCTTTACAATTAATAAAAAATTTTTAAAAAATTCGTTGTTTTTGCTAGGTAAAAATCTAAATACATCTCGAATGAAAGTTCATTCCTAATATCACCTTTATCATATGAACAAATTTCATAAACTTGCCGGTTTTTTGCCGGTCTGGAATTATTTTTTAGACCGGCAGATCACCGGCCGGACCGGACCGGTCAGAAATTTAAACCAGCCGGACCGGACCGGTCAGAAATTTAAACCGGCCGGACCGGACCGGTCAGAAATTTAAACCGGCCGGACCGGACCGGTCAGAAATTTAAACCGGCCGGACCGGACCGGTCAAAAAATTTTCGACCGGTTACAACTCTGCATCGTGTAATTCTTGTTGTATTTCTGTAATCTAAAAGAAAAAGAAAAATATATGATACATTGCAGTATTACGAGAAAACTTACTTCTTGTTCAATATGGATAAGTTGCTGATCCATGTTAACTAATATTATTGAACGATGTCGACGTGATAAATAGAAGAAAATCGATGTATCTAAATTGATATATATACGTCTGACAATTACTGAATAGTCCGCGTCAACCATTAGATCGACACGGACTATTCGATAGAAGAAAAAATTGTATAAAACATGTTTTATATACATACTTGTTCAAATTAATTCTTTCTAGATAAAATGACGATATCCAATCATGAAAGGTCTAGATATTTTAATCGGCAATTCAATAAATAAAAATTATGGGTTACATGAATTGCGGCCCACGAATTTTTCGTCCCAGACTTTCGGCCCAGGCCGAAATTCCGGTGATTTTTCGGCCCGGGCCGAAGGTTCGAAAGGAAATTCGGACCAAAAGTTAATTTATCTAATTAATTTTCTAAATAATTAGTAAACTTCATGGTGCTGAGCACTATGCACATTCAACAAAACGTTGTGCTCGACAGTATGACGTGTTGCTCAGCAAGATAACATAGTGCTTAGCAGTTAGACATGATGTCCGTCGAGATGACATAATGCTTAGTAGCGTGGTGTGGTGCTCAGCAGTACAAAATAGTGCTTAGCTAGGCAGTCTAGTACCTAGAACTATGCATATTGATAAAAAATTTGGCAATTCGGATATTGGTCGAAACATAGGTTAAGTATTCTATTGTGGAAGCCGCCACAATATTCAAGAAATGGATATAGAACTCAGCAATACGAATTTAGATGACATGATAATTATAACGTTCTGCTGTATCTGTGTATTACTTCGCCTATTTTACTTAGGAGTTACGGCAGTTCTTTGATATTGAATGAAATATGTGTTTAGATAGTGATTACATTTAGTCAGCCTCGATCGAATAGATGCTTTCTTTCTTTTGTGGCATTGGTCAGAGATGGAAACGGTCCGAATTTTTGACGACCGATATCGGCCGGTCTTGTTTCTTTGTCATTTCCACTATTTATATCTTCTCTTTTCTCAGTTGCTGACTGTTATTCTTAGCAAGTTATGTGTGCTACTTATACTTTTCCTTGTTGTAAAAAAGAATCAAAAATCGTCGTCTCCTGATCTTCGATTTGAATATCATTATTAAAATCGATATATACTGGTATTATTTTGACAAACATTTTTCGTGTTCTTTATGTTTGCTTGTATAATTGTAAAAATTTATGTTACTCTTAATGTTTTGTTTTTTTACTGAAAGAAACTAAAGAAAATTGAAATAAACTAGTCAACTGAAACGGAACTGAACGTTCGAAAAAATCTAAAACTGGCGGTATCGGTAAAGAAACACCGGTCGAATAGAATTAGATTGGTAGGGTATCGTTTTCTACTGTTACCGAGCACCATGTTCTTTTAGGCTGGCGTTTATTCAAGACAAGTAATAATTATCGCAAACGGCGGCCTCATTCCTAACAGAGTGAAATGAAAACTGCTAAACATTATTTTGTACCGCTAAGCATTATATCGTCTTTCTGAGTCCCATGTCGTACTGCCAAGCACCATGTCTAACTGCTGAGCATTATGTCATCTTGCTGAGCAACATGTCATACTGCCGAGCACAACATTTTGTTGAATGTGCATAGTGCTCAGCACCATGAAGTTTACTAATTATTTAGAAAATTAATTAGATAAATTAACTTTTGGTCCGAATTTCCTTTCGGACTTTCGGCCCGGGCCGAAAAATCACCGGAATTTCGGCCTGGGCCGAAAGTCTGGGACAAAAAATTCATGGGCCGAAATTCCAGCTACCCAAAATTATATTGTATAAAAAAATTCAAGCAGTTATTTTAATTCTTGTATTACCTAATTTTCTTTCTTCTTCAACAATAAATATTTGATGATGACGATTGTATTCATTGATCTTCTCGAAATCAATATAATTGTAATGTTTTGCATGGTTCTTGTAATGAACAATGTTTACCTTTATTTTCATCTTCATGTTCATTTGATTTTGATATTTATTTATGCTTTGATAATTCATTAACATTAAATATTGTTAATTGTTGTATAAATTGTATTTCTTCATCTACTATATAATCATATTTAATTTGTTTACGTTTTGCTTTTTTATCTAATCAACCAAAATAAGATAAATCTAAATGAAAAACTTCATCTTTCTATTTTTGTTTTTTTTTTTTTTTTTGTTCAAAATTTTGTCGTAGTTATTCATTTACAGATCTTTTTCATATTCAAGTGCGAAATTTAATATTTTCTTTACCTATTTTTTTTTAATTTAATACATTTAAATAAATATTCTTCATCAACAAGTTCTTCAAGTTCATCAATTCTTTTTTATGTTGTTAAATGAACATGACAAAATTTTTTTATGTAATTATTCGATTGATAATTTTGAACGATCAGAATTTCATGAAATAGATTCAGATCTAAATCTTTTTTGTTTGATCATCATCACGTTATCGAAGACGTATTTGTAAATGTATGACATTCACAAAAGGTGTAATAGGTTCAAAATTTGAGCAAATTTCGCATTTATGACACATTATATCTAATTGACAAAGGACATTTGTTTTTTTCACCATCTATTGATAATGATTGATTCAGGTGATTATCAAAAAGGAGACTGTGATGATGAAGCCATCTTATAACCTAAAACAAATAAATGATATTAGTTAGTAAGCTAGAAAAATCATTGTTTCTGATACAAATCTTAACGTATGTATGTACAAATAGATACTTCGTTTCCATTGACAAAGTATTTATTAGTACTTTGTTCTCAATCACACAATACCAATTTTCTCTCTGTTCTCTTTTGCAAAGTATTCCACGGGATTTTTCATTTGTTTCTCAAGTCAAAGGTTTGTAGATGGACTTTTATTATGATCGACTTTTTTTATGTTGTAGCTTTGACAAGATGCACTTACTAGCATGGAAATACACATGATTAAATAAATTCGATTTTTCTAATTGTCTGAGAGCTTACAAGGAAATCATCTGAAGTAATATCTGTCGTTTGAACTCATGTTGGATTCATAAGAAGGTATCGGTGAGACTAGAAAAAGCCTAAAAGAGTTCGTATCCATAGATCTTTGGCACCGAGTTATCACCGTTTTATTGAATTTTAGACTCACATTGAGGTATTTACCGAAAAAACCAAAAAAAAAAAAATAGAATAAAATTTCGATATAAAATTTTGTCTATAGATAGGTCTAATCATTCTTAGAATATCCTGAAAGTTTCAACCGAAAGTAATGTTCTTTTGTCAAAATATTAAATGTTCAAGTAAACTCGATTTTTGTTATAGTCTGTAAGAAGCGACTATTTTTTTGGAAACTCAATATCTTGACAAAGGAACATTATTTTCGATTAGAACTTTTAGAATATTGTAAGGATAATTAGACTTAGCGATGGACAAAATTTTAGATCGAAATTTTGTTTTTTCGATGAATATCTAAAAATGGGTTGAAAATTTAGTAAAACGATCATAACTTAGCGCCTGAGGCCCATGGGTACGAACTCTTTTAAACTTCTACTAGTCTCATCGATATCTTCTTGTGAATCTCATATAAGCTCAAACGGCGGGTATCATATCAGGTGGTTTCTTCGTTAGTACCTAGTACATTGTTCTAGTGAATTAGTAATGCTAAATTTATCTTATAAGTGACTTGAAAAGAACAATTATAGATTTTCAAATGTACTTTATCTTACTAAATATTTTACAGTTATATAAACAATAAATTTCTATCTAACTGTACGTAGTCTTTTACAAGATGGATATATTCTTCTGATGGTATAGTTTATTTCAACAGACTTCTACTGTAATGGTTTACGACGAAATATTCCTTTTTATTTTGGATATTTATACGAGATCAATGAATATTAAATGCAGTTAATTCGAATTTTATTGTCCTTTTTTTTTAAACATGTGCTCATCAATTATTTGTGATTTCAACTTTCTTTAATATAAGCGAACATTTAAAATCACTTAAAACTAAAATCGATATAAAAATTTTATATGACTAATTTATTTTTTAATTCAAAGTTATTTAACACAAAGCAAAATTTTGTAGCACGAAGTTGATTGTACAGAATTCCTTATCTATTGACATTTTTACATAGTAGAAGAAAGACTGTAACAAATCATTGTTGTAACTAGAGAAATAAGTCAAATGGCTGAACCACTGGAACCGATCAAATCATTGACTTACACCTTCAGTTATCACAAAATGTTGTCTCACCTAGATAAGTAAAGTTCAGGTTCAGCCTTGACTCCAGTCATTAACAGTTAATTATTAAACGAAGTAGAAATAAGCCAAAAGAAAAGATTTCAGACTTAACTATAGAAACAGTCGAATCAATGATTCAAAAATTCGAGGTCTGCAAGCATTCTAAAAAAGGGAACAATATTCAGAAATATTCGAATCTCAACTTTAGAATACTTTAATGTACCATTTTGGAAATTATCCAAATATCCAACACTGTCTGAACTGATTGAATAGTTTCCAAATACTCAGTCGAAATTTAGGGTTAACAAAACGAAACCTCTTTGTGAATAAGTAGCTCGAAACATATTCGTCCGCTGACGTACGATGCATTCGTGGTTTCTTTCGAAATTCTCTTTGAATATTTGTACGAATTTTCGTTTCGTTTACCTCAATCTGAAATTCTAAATCTGGAAAGTTTTAATATAGAATGGTGTTGATTACATCAGTTGATATTTTTCGATTCGTTTTAGTAATTAAATGAATTGAAAGTTTCTCAATTGTTTTTAGTTTAGTCATAAGAAATTTTCGATTTGAGTTTTATTTTAAAACACTTACTTGTCTTGATAATATGCTCATTCGTTTACTTGAATCGAAGCTATTTCGACCATTTGTCTTATGATAAATGAATTGAACTAATAAGTTTTTTTTTTTGTTAAATGTTTATTGGGTTCTGAACTAAATAAAAAAGCTCGACTTAACCGTTTATTTGCTTTATGAAGATCACTAAAATTTCAATATATATATTTTTTTCAATATTAATTAATTCAAAGAAAAACAAAAGAAACAAAAAAACAAACCGTTTAAGTGCTAAATCTAATAAATTCAGACGACTAGTTGAATGTAAACCTGAATCAATTTCTGAATGTTCAAATGATGTTTGAGAACAATACACATGATGATTATTATTTGAATTAGTAACTGTTTGAATAAGTGAAGACTAAAATAAAAATGGTACATTACTTGTTTTTTTTTTGTTATTTTAAAAAATAATTTACTTTATCAAGTAAACATCGATCATCTGAAATAGCTTTAGATAAATGATAAAGTACATCGATTTTATGATTTCCATGATGTGTAGTACTATTTGATAATGTTGAAATCGATGATGATGATGAAGATATTAAATCAGTAAAATAAGATTTTGAATTATTAGTACTAGTACTTGTATTTCCATTAATAACACGAAATATAAGTTGACGTATTTGTCCATCAATTGAACAAAGTATTCCGAATTGTTCAGTTTCTTTAATAAGAAAAATTTTATTTAAATAAAAGAAAAAAATAATAAAAACTTGTTAGCAGAATCTCTTCAGGGTTAAAATGTGTTTTTTAGGCTCATTATATTAATATAAAATACGTATAGAATGTTTTTCTTAATCTAACATTATATTTATTATTTTAATCATCGATTTTACTAGCAAATAGGCCTGTTGCACACATCATTCATATCTGCAATGATCAGCTCACATTTTTCAAGGCTGGTGCGACGCAGCCAATATTGGAAGGTTTCGCGTTTTTTTTTTGGGAGAGTGATTCCAGACGTGCGTAATCTGCGATAAAACTTCTTCGAATGCACATAAATAGATCCTATATTTCTGGATGTTATACTCATGATACGTCCCCGGTCGGACCATCGTCCCCTGCACTTTTTACGTTGATCATATGACGTCTGTGACAAATCAACACATCACTACTAGAGATGTGTGCGGGAACAGATTTTTTTGGTAACGGTTTCGGTCTAGAGAATTAATGATTTATAAGATAATCTGCTTAAAAATATAGAATATTTAAAACTATAATCTTTAATTTAGGTCGAAACAATTTTTTCTCGTAGTCTCGATCTCAGTAACTTCTCGATTCCGATGATCGGGACTAAAATTAGTCCTACAGTTGTCCTCGACTGCCACGGAAACCTACCAAATAATCGTCGACCTTCACCCTATTGATATGGGGACGAAGGCGCAAAACTTATGCTCATTGTATTTATTTTCGAAAAAAGATAATGTGCGAGATCTATAAAACAAAAACTAGTCAATCACTTTTACCATCAATTGTTAATGATATTGGATTAATATCAAATAAACTTCTAATATCACTTAATTGAATAAATGCAATATGTTTGTATGTTTTTGATGTTTTCATACCAGGGGTTTTCCACATATTAACACGTAATTTTGTTACCTAATAAGAAAATAAAAATATCAAAATGTACGTTTTTATGTTTTTGATGATAAATACTTCAAGACAATCAGAAAAAAGAAAAGAATTAAATGTGTTTGTGTTGTTGTTAATTCTTGTGAAAGTTTAATAACATCAAAATTTTTCTATATAATCACGATGTGCAGCAAGTAATTCTGGCTAAAATTTAACAAAAAAACGAAAATATTTAATAATAAATTCTTTATTAAAATTGCTTATCTTACTGAACAATTATCAATACTATTAACAATATTAAACATTGATAAATGTTTTTCTGTTTTTCCTCTTTCTTCATTTAATTTTTTTGCTATTTCACGTAATTTATCTAATGAATCAATTAATAATTGATAATCAATATGTGTTATTGATGTATATTTAAGTAAACGTTCTAGTAATAATAATATACTTGGTAAACGTTGAATAGATCGTATCATTAAATCAACTAAATGTTGTTTACCTAATTCAATTTTATGTTCACAAATCTATTCAAATATAATATATTTTATTAGATTATATTATTCCAATATAAAAAAAAAAGAAAATTACTTTAAGATAAGCATAAAAACGAGAATTAGTTTTTTCTAATGTATGAATTGCTTCAATTGTTTTATCATAAAATTTTGTATATGGTTGATAAACACGTAAAAGATCAACAGACTAGACATTGAAACAAAAAAAAAAGATATTTTCTTTTCTAAGACTTTATAGATACTAACATTAGTTAAACATATTGAACCAATACATTTATCTTCATTTATAGCTCGATCAAGTTGTTCAGCAATAGATAAATGTAAATGATAGATTTCTTCAATATTACCAAATATTTGTGTACTTTCAACTTTTGTAAGAATAGGACCATTTCGACGATCATCTTTTTCCATTTCAGTTTTGAAAATCTATTTGAAGAAAAAAAATTGTTTAATATAAAAGTTAAATTCATTAATCAATTTTGAAAATCAAAATTCAACAATATAAATGATAAGTATACTGCGTAGAGATCTCTGTATGATTGTAAGGTACTAGTAAATAAAGTCCTTTTACCTTCATGCTGTTTTTTTCGAATAATTTGACCTGTGGTTCACCTAGAAAGACTTCCTCTATGTCTTATCAAGTTTCATTGGGTACTCTCGGGGACGTCAACAGTCGAATACGACAGAGGTTGCACCACCTATTGACAAATCTTGACGATACACAATAGAACTTAATAATACATACACTATTAGATAAAGGAAGTTTTCCTCTACTAGCCTACATAGATCTCGTTCTCTAACCAAAAACCACTGTGTCACTTATATTTGACATGCTTTACTATCATGTCGAAAAAATCAATTGTCTAAATAATGAAATAATATTTTCCAAAAAGCATGCATAGATGTTTTCTTAACTATATGACGAATAAAACCATAAAAAAAAATATTGAGCTTAATGAGACTTGATACTTTTGGCGTATTTTAGTTTTCGTTGACTTTTTTTTAAACCTAATTTTGCTCTCAGTATGAAATATTGGTCGATTCCAACTCATCAAAGGGAGAAGGGTATCGGTGAAAAGAAAATTCAGGTTCACATATTCATCGTCTCCTCAATTAACTTTTTGAATTTATCATCACTATAGAAATAGGTCTCTAAAAAAATTATATTTATATGTTCTGATGAATACTGTGGGTATTATCTAGACATACTCGTTGACAAATTTTAAAAACCTGGGTTTTACAACTACCTCTTTGTTCTTTTTTTTTTTTCATTGCAAAAGTTTATGAATGATAGGAAATTTCAAATTCGATCAGCATATCGAATTATACTATTAAAAATCTATCCCATAATCATCAGAAAATTGAATACAAGACAAAAGAGAAATACATAGGATACTAGAGATTTTCAAGCTCTTCCAAAAAAACTATCTCTATAGATGAATAAATATAAAAAGTTAATTGTAGAATCAGTAATAAAATTCAGTTCATGTGGATCTGACAATAAGGATGCCTTCATTACAATTGATTTATTTTCCAGTCAGTAGACGCCGGTTAATATACAGTTGGATAGTCGTCCCGAAAGTACGACATACCTTTTCTGGTCTCGTTGTATTCAGTCACTGAGGCGCCTAGTATATTCCACAGACGACTCGATAGGCTCTAGTAACCAGTAATAATGTTGATAAGTAATACCTGATATAGATTTTCAGGTACTAAATGATAGAAAAATGACATTATAAATTTTGTCCTTTTTATCTATTGACTTATGTTTGATTCCTGTTAGAATGTTTTAAAACACTTTTCAACATTTTTACAGCCGACCTGATGATTAGTATTGTATAAAGTCATAAATTTCAAATATTAAGATTCATTCCGCTAGTCATCATTATTCTTTGTTTATATATAAATTTTCTTTTTTATAGTCTAATATCAATCTTACTCGAATAATATTTGATAACATTGTAACATAATTTCGTTCAGTTTCTCTTAATTCCATTTCAATTAAATATTTATTATCTTTTTTAATATTTTGTTGTTTTTCTACAATAATAAATAGAAATTTTCTTTTTTTTGTATTTCGAAAATTATTCATTATAATTTACCTATAACAATATTATCATCTAATAAATTTTCATTCTCATTAACACTACTATTAAAACGTTTTGAATTTGGTGTATTATCAATTTGTTCATTTATAAACAAATGTTTATGTCGACGTTTTCGTTTAACAGTCGTATTTAATGATGAATCATGTAATGGACTATCACCATGTATTGATGGTGAAAGTAATAATAATGAAGAATCTGGTGTTGTTGATTGATTACTAGTTAAATTAACAATATACATTGATTCATCAGCTTTACCCATTAAACATAAACATTCCCAAAACCACTATAAAATTCAAAAATATTCTATATAATTTTAATCTGTTTTTTATTCTTATTAACTAATACATACTTGTACATGGACAATATATTGTCGATGTTTACGTGTATATGATGGATATGTCAATATAAATAAATTTATATCAGAAAGAACAATATGTGTTGCTTCATTCATTTCTTTTGTTATAAATCCACCTAAAAAGAAAGATTTTTATCTAATTTATCTGATGTATAAATAGAAATGTTTTCATTTTACAAGAGAGCCATCCAAAGTGATTTATCATAATTGTATACTCATATTCGGTATATAGAGCAGTGTCCGATATGGATCAAATTTTTGTAACTAGACCAAAATATCGACTAATTTTTTTTTACTTTTTGGAAAATCAATTTCTCAATCTTTTGTTTTTTCTTCGTTTCATTTCGTAGTTGGAACAATATGATTATGTGATAGAATTTTTTTCTTATACATACAACCTGCGACCTTTACATCATTATTGAACGTCGATAATGATACACTCGTTATCCGATGTCAATAAAGAAAAGTTGATGAAATAGAAGAAAAGATTATGCAACACATGACATCTTGTGCTACTGACAAGCGAAGGTCTTCAACTGATTTACGTTGCTTTCAATGATATTTTGTCCACATGTTGAAAATGGATGTGAGTATTTGTCTTCTCTACATCTATACCTCACCCTCACACTCTGAGTGCAAATAGTGGATAATAGTTGAAATAATTTCCTTGTTAGAAAAATAAAAATATAGATTTATTTATTTTTTGTCTAAATTGAATATTCTAACTGTAAGATGTAACATTTTGTATTTTATACAATAACCGCAACGATAAAAAAAAAAGAATTTACCATGTTCATTGGTTAAAGTATGTAAATGTTGTAATTCATTATCATTATTAAAACCAAAAAAGAATAAATTAAGATTATGTAATGGTTTAGCACGATATATTCGAATAAGTTCAGAATCAAATGGATTAAATTGTCGATTATTTCGTTCATGCCAACAATGTAAAAGCCATTCTTCTGTTAGAATTTCACTTCTTTCCATATTAAATGCTGTCTAAATAATAAATAAAATCATCATCATCATCATCATATATATTTTAATAAAAAAAAAAATTTCATTACGAGATATTTTTCACCGATATTTGCATGTGATATAACATGTGTTACTTGATCACTATAATCTTTTCGTACAGATCCACCAAGATAATGAACAAAATCACTTAATTCCGTCTAAAAACAAATTATGTAAGAAAAATAATAATATTTTTTGTTTAACTTACATGTGTATCTCTTCGAATTCCAACAAAACATATGACAGCTGAAGATAAATGTTGACAATATAATGGTCGATTTCTTCTTGGTACAGGAATATCCTAAAGAAATTAAAATTATAATTTTTAGATAGTAAAAGAAATTTTTTTATTTCTTGTTTTTTACAATTTCTTTTTCTGCACATGATAATACAAGTTCAGAACTAATTGTATAAATATCTTCATTGTCTTTTAAATATTGAAATATAGAATCATCAAATGAATCAACAATATAAATACGTAATTGTCGTTGTGATAATAAAATTTTCGTTTCAGTTAATGTACGAATTACTTCTCGTTCATCATGAATACATTCATATACATAACGATCTTCAAGTGAAGATAGAAGTCGTTTATTTGAACAAGCAGAACCAATTATACAAAATGTTATTGCTAGGAATAATCAAAAATAAATTTAATTAAAAAGAAAATATATTTACTCCAATCATTAACATTGGTTGGTGAAGTATTTTCACTGTTTTTTTTAAATTTATTTTGTCGATGATAAATTTTCGAAGTTGAAGACAATGGTGAAATATTTTCTGTTGTCATTCTTTTTATTTAAAAGAACATCTCAAAAATGAGATGAATGACTAGATCGAAATAAATAAAAGACTGATTGAAATGAATAGGTATTTTATGATTTGCTTTTCATTTACGATAAGTTAGTTAGTAAACGTTTGTTCATATTGGTGGAACGTTCGATTTGATAAAACATGAAAATTACTAAGATATAGAGGTCACCATTGGTCGTAAATTTTCATGCGAATTTCATTGTCAACAAAAAGAATCAAAATTGTGTTATAAAATGTAACACTTTTAAGACCTCTCCCATACAAAAAAATCGATTTTTCTAGAAAGAAAAAAAAAGACATTCTTCAAGGTAAACATATAGGCATTACATCTAAGATATCTAATTTGAAAATTCATAAGCATGCCTTTCAATTTTAAAAGTTTTCGATAGAGATCATGATGAGTTTTTACAGCTCTCCAGTGAAACGATTAATACCATATCGATAGGAAAATTAGGAGCGCTATTGCAATTATAACTCAACGTGTAGCTAGAAGGCTATTCAATAAGACTCTAGATGAATTTTTAATTGGAACGTAATTTAACCATATTTAATGCTCATATGAAAAAGTTCTTTAGGTAAATATACAAAAAAAATGTTCACACGTTTTTCTCGACATTGGTTTTTGTATAAACTTTTGAATTATGAACAAATTTCTTTTCAAAAGTGTTCGTTGTTGTGAACTGCGAATTTTTTTCATTCGATAAATATTAATATATTCTTTTTTCAAATGACGGAAAGGGCTATTGTATTCGACCACCAGTATCAAAGCAATGATGGACTTTATAGAAAACATTACCTACGATTTGTAAAGTTTTATCATTCTTACATGGAACACATGTTATTCATGCACCATTTTATCGTAATTTATGGATTACTACTGGAACAATATTTCTTGGCATACTTCCATATACAGTTATTTTTATGTTTCCAACAAATAAACTTATAATTGGAGATAACAAACGTGTTCAATCAGGAAGTGAAAGTCAAATTAATGTTAGTATAAGAAAAGGATTATTAGATAAATGGGCTATGCTTCATTTGGTTCGTACTGTTGGTTCAGTTATTAGTTTTGGTGCTATGTTATTTGGACTTAATCATCATAAATTGCTTCATTTAGGATAGTAGAAATTATAATTATTTTCCTTGTCCACAGCAAAGACATTTCATTCCTACTTTAGTCAGTCAATGGAAAACTTTCCTTACTTCTTTAGAAAATAAACAGAAATCTAATGATAGAATATATATACATGTTTTATATGTTTGTAATAAATTCTAAAAACTACAATAATAGGACATTTTCTTACAAATGATTGATCAATGTACACAAAAGCAAGAATCTCTTTTTTTTTTTGAATACAATATTGTAATTAGCACTATAATTCATCTAGACAGTCCATATTTGACTTAAACTTTATTATTAATTACTTATGACATACCAAAGTTAGTGGCAAAGGTACTTTATTTTCTTATACAAAGGTTTAAAGAAACTTTTTTCTCTCTTTAAAGTCTGATAGTAAAAACAAGATTTTACATTTCTCTAATATTTGATCATTCTTCAATTAATATTATACTAATCAACTTTCAATAAGAACTGTTTGTTATGATGTGTAACAGTGATATTAGATCGAAATTTGTTTTCGATGCTCATCTTCTTCTTTATATTCTTTTTTCTTCTCTATTCTAAATGCCTAGCTGTCTATACATATTAGGCGTTATTCCCTCTACTGAAGGGAGGGTCATACGCCGAATGAGTTAGCTACGTTTGTTCCTAACTGCGTGCGTGCGTTCGTTCGCTAATGTCTTCAATGATGAGGTGTGATATTAGAAAACAAATACACCAAAGATTTGATCAAAGATAATCGGGATTGGGGAATTCGAATCCGTGATTAGTTTTTTGAAGTTTTTCATTTTGAGTTTTTTAGGACAAAGAAGGGCCTTTTTATGAAAAAAATGATTTTTTTATAAAGTTTGGCCAATGGTTATCGAGTCGAGGAATTCGAATCTGTAATTGCATTTCACTTCATATGAACATTTTTAAACTGACGAAATATCTACTTTTGGAAATAAATGAAAGAAACTAAAAATTAGAAATAAAAAAACAGCTTTAGTCTAATTTTGATAAAATGTCGGCGCAATTTCTTTTACTAATG